AAAAAAAAAAAAAGAAAAAAAAAAAAAAAAGAAAAAAAAAGAATCGAGGCCCCTCTGCAATAGCCAACAATGCCCATAAAACTGTGCCGAACACAGGCGGGGATTAGTCATTTCTGACTTTATAAGAGATTTAAGAAGTGGAAAACAAACTGTGAAAAATATATAAATGTGGTCATTTTAGACACATTTAGCTTTTATTTAAAAGCTAGACACTATTCTCTCTCCACACACCCCCAAAATCTTTCCATATCATTTGATTTTAGAAAGTCAGAAAGATCTCAAAGATTTCTTACTACTGTACTTACATGCAAAGGCGAAAGCACATCCAATTAGATTTGAGGGTATCATTTATTCCGTGCAGAGCCAAGGACTACTGTGAAAAAAGGCATAGATACAGAAAGAAAAAAGCAGCAATAACAAACTAATCGGGGCTGGGAAGAAGGGGTAGAGAAAAGTTCAGAAGCAACACATTTGTTTAAGAAAAGCTTCTATATGTTTCTTGTGACTTTTTATTCCCCGACTCTCCATAAAATTTATTTTGCTATGAAAAATTTAATGCAAAAAAATCAATAATTTTGGAATCAAAAAGTCAGGTGGATGCTTTTTGTTGCCAGGCTCAGCTTTAAAAGCTTTTAGGGATGCATGAAATAATAGAATTTAAAAGTGTATTTTCTATTACAAGGCACAAAAAATGCTCACACAAGCAATGGCTGGACAAGCAAACAACACAACTATTCAAGCTTTTGTGAGGTGCCCAGCATAGGAGCAAATCAGCCCAGGATTAGTCAGCATGCTTCTAGCACTTAACTGCTCCACAGCTAACCTCCGACTACAACTTACAAAAACAAAAGCAAAGACAAAACACTGGTCTAACAGCTCCTCGCCCTGTGAGGAGTACAGTGCTGTCGCTTCTGGTGTGCAGTCTCCATCGCAGCTTATTCTGCACGTCAGTGAATCCAGTTTTCTAACTTTGCCTAACGAGGTCTCTATCATGGAAGACCGTCCCTTTTTTCTCTTCCATATGACTGGGGGTAAAGGGAAGGAAAAGAAAAAAATATTTGCTGGAATCAGGTAGAAATTTAAGTTTTTAACAAGCGTATATTGGAGAGGGGAGGTGCAGTGTATTCTCACCTGTTTACTAGTGAAGGTCACACTGAAAAAGCAGAGGGAAAGTGTTGGGTTCATGAGAATGTTATCCTCTCCAGTAAAACAGGAGAGGATGGCTCTAGAGGAAGCTGGGGATATTGTTGCAGCAGGATCCAGCATCAGGAAGGGCAGTACAGCTGGGAGATTATACATGTCCTTCTTGATGCCAATCAGGCAGGAAGTGTACATTCTGGCACCTGGGTCAGTCCTAATTATGGGTGAGGTGATAGCCATGGTCTCCAGGACACAGAGAGCAGGTGAAACTAGTCAGGGTGACAGCCAACACAGGAAATTCCCTTCAAGACATCTGGATTCGAAATACCAGCAAGAAAGTAGGAAGTGAAGCTGAATTTTGACTTTCTTGATTCATGTTATGTTCCTTCTCCTTTGTATCTTAAATTGACAAGGTCCTCTCTAATTTGTTGATGACACATCGTTTATATAAGCAAATTTTGTATTTGAAGTATTTGTGGCAATTTTCTCATGATTAGTGGCCTGGAATCAATCGTAAGGTCCTGCCCCTCAGCCTGCTGGAAGCACATGTGAATATGTTTTATGAAAAACTTCTTACTGCAAGCACTAGACAGGCTGTGAGGTGCCCATTATCCTTGATGGAAGATTCTTCTACTTAGCAACGATATCTCAGTCTGTGAGAAGATCAAGCAGTCACAGCAGTGTGGCCAGGCTCTGAGAGGTGGTTGCTCAGATGCAGTCTCGACCCAAGAGTGAACAGAGCACCAACTGGGGCAGAGAATGTCAGTGTGAAATGAAATGAAATGAAAGAGCTCCCCACTGCTCTCCCTACCTACCAATCTACCTTAGTTTGGGGCTAGTGTGGAGGAGAGACAAGGAACTCAGGGACTGTGTGATCACGGAGATGAATAATCAAGAAATGCACGTTGTTGTCAGGGCTATTAGGGGTTTTAGTTCAGCTGCTAACGTGATGGGAAGTTCTTATGTCAGACGTACAGGCAGCATTGTACCCCACACTCCTCCTCCACAGTGACACTCAAATAACAGGCATGCTTCCTGCTGCCACTGGGGACAGGCATGAAAGGCAATCATTTACTTTCCAGAAACAAAGTCCAGGCACACAAAGATTTGGCTGTTATTCTCTTGTTCTATTGTTTTCCACCACCCAACAACATTCAGCAAAACGAGTAAAGAGTTACTGGTGTTTGGGAAGACTAAATAATAAACTAAAACCAAAGGACACAGATGGCAGAGTACACTATTACTGCAAAAGCAGGTGAATGCGGGAACATCCTTGGCTTGCCAGGCTTTATGTGAAGCTTGCACTGCAAGTTAAAAAACAAAACAAAAAAGTTAGAAATAATAATAAATTAAAAAGAAAGGAAAATAGGAGCGCCAGCACCAGCATTCAGTGACAGTGAATGCTCATGCAATGATTACGGAACTGACAGAAACCAAAACCAAAAACTTGAGTAAGCTATTCTACATGACAAGCAAAAGCAAAATTTTAATATTTAATTACAGAACACGTGGTTAGTTTCCATTTGCATGAAACTTAGAATTCACAAGTGACTTCTTGAAACCACTATATATTCCCACAGAACGAATTACTGTTTAGTTTTTGTTTTCTCAAATAACACAAAACCATCATCTCATAGGTGTAGGTATCACATGAATACTGATTAGGAGCATCACCTTCCATTTCTGAGCAGCTGAAGGAGTCAGAGAATAAATATCCCATAAATGCCTTTGTACACACGACTTGGAGAGGTCTAGAGTAGGTTGGGAGAGGTCTAGAGTAGTTGGGAAAGAATGAATGGAGGACATGCTACTAATCTAGCTGGGAAGAAAAAAAAAAAAAGAACAACTGTTACATGGGCATAGCTATGGCAACGCCAGGAGCTTTCGATGCCAAACCCAAGATCTATATACTTAATTTTAGGCAAATTGAAAACACGCAACTTTATACCATAGCAACAATTTTACTTAAAAAAAAAAAGGTGAGATGGTTGTGTAAACTTTAGTTTTTACATACCAGTTTTGTTTTGTGTTTGTTTTTTGAGACAGGGTCTCACTCTATAATTCAGGTTTGCCTTGAACTCACTATGTAGCCCAGGCTGACCTCGAACTCATGGAGATCCTTCTACCTCAGTCTCTGGAGTGCTGGGATTACAGGTGTGCACCACCATGCCTGGCTGCACACCAGTTTTAAATGATGAATCTGAAAGCTTTCTTTTGGGATAGATGCATCTTAACCAGCAAAGCTTGATGGCAATTGCGAAAACTGTTTTCAGAACAAATGAACACTGTCCAGGGGACAATGTACCCTTGGGCAGTCCCAAAACTGTGGTGCAGCTGCAAGCAAGCAAGCAAAGGGACTCGGTGGTCAGAGATGGCAGGGGTGGGGCCCAGCTAGTGGCAGTGCCAGGGTTAGTTCTACCTTGTCTGTAACCTTAGGAAGAAATGTTCTATACCCTCATGCTACTGCAGGTCAAGGAGTAGTACATAAAGCCTTACCTATGTTAAAAAAGAAGCATGGCATCAGAATAGAAAAAAGAGAATTCAAAACTATGAGAAAAATGAAGCTTGAATGTGGAAGCACAGCAGGGAAGTAAACAAGCTTCCTCCATCACAGCCAGCTCCCAGGAGGCCTGTGTCGGTATTCTGGAACCTAGGAGCTCCCGTGAGAGGTGCTGCTTTGGTTACCCTGGTTACTAACTTTCTGTTGTCCTCTCAAACCAAAACCTCTCCTGTCACTGGCCATATGAAGGATGATTTTTTTTAATACTTTAAGCCTCCTGCTAGCCAATGCTTCCACTAAGAAGTGTGGAAAAGGGTAGGAAGCTTCAGTGACACAAAAAATGTGTGCCATTTTCAGGCACAAGATCTGGTTGATTATTGTGAACCCCATCTAATGCTTTTAATAATGAGAATATATAAATTAAACTAAAGAAGAATTCACACAGATTCACATGAACTTTAAAAGCATTATATGTATAATTGGAAGAAAGTAACTGAACATGCTCAAAAGGGCAAGGAGAAACCTTCCTACACTGGGACGTTTGTTGCTGGATTTTTTTTTTTTTTTAATAGAGGCACAATAGTGATCAGCTCTTCAAATTTTTATTGTGTAAAGGCCTAGCCAGCATTCATGAGATATGCTTTTAACACTGCTGGTCCTTTACAAAAATTTTAGCTTTAAAACTTGTACTTTTATGTACTTTAGTCCTTTGGGGTAAGAAAACCTAGACTTTGGGTTTCCTATGCTGTGAGCCAGCAGTTTTTATTCTTTCATTCACACAATAGACATTTGTGTACACACACACACGTTTTTATCTTGTCTAGTTTGGACCAGGGGTGCAATGCTAATGGCTTTCACTTGTCTCACTGGAAGTCACTGGAATCTGGGTGCCTACTTGGAGGACCCCGTTAGTGTCAGATGCTCTTCCAACATGCAGAGCCATGGAAGCATTTCCTGGCACCAGATATAAACTAGGCAATTGTTTCTCTCTGAATTAATGAAGAATATCCAAATTATGGGGACTTGGACTCCTTTGGTCACTTGGGTCTGAACCAACTCAAATTAAAATCACACCTCCTCTACACCCACTAAGGCCCCTCTTCTGCTCTCTGTGTGTAAAGCATAACTCAATCCCTCTGCGTGCTACTGCAGCTTGTATTTTCATCTTTGTTACAAGCAACATCACAAGACCCCTTACAGATATGTCTGCTGCACACCACAGGGTGGCAAAGCATTGTGTACATTCCTCCCCAACACAGTCGAAGGCGGAAGCCTAGGTGCTATGTTTTTAAAGAATGTAATTCTTTGCCTCTTTGAACATCAATGTTTTTGTTCTTTTCTCTCCTTGGAATTTTGGCATTTTAAGGATGAAGAGCAAGATCTTGAAATACGCTGTGAGTTAAGCAGACAAAGGAAGGCAACATCCATGGGTTCGTTATTGGACCCTGTGAAGGTTTGCTTCAAAGGTCTTGTCGCTGTGTTTACTGTCGAAGCAACAGTAAACCAAATGCACTCTCTAGTCCTTGGAGTGATCCAAAGGAGAGTTTCGAACCACAGGACAATTTGCAGGAAGCTCACATTTCCTCTGGTACAGACAGCGGTTACTGAAGTATCCCAAGAAGTGACTAACTCAAGAGCAGAACCTGACCCTTTGGCACATGAAATCAAGGACATATTTTTAAACGTTTTGTGTGGGTATAGGTGTGGCTGGAGGGTGGGCAGGGATATATTAACTAGATGGGTATTTGGGTTACATTTCATGATAAGACAATTCACCATCTTGTTGAATTGAGTGACTGGATGACCACTATCAGCCCTTATACAGGCTTCAGGCTGGGAGCAAGACTCAGTAACTGGCTTACCATGCCTGAAAACATAGTAGAAAAATAAGCTTAACCATTGTGACTTTAGATGTTCTTTACCAGGAGTCATGAGAATTATCTTCAGAGGTACTGAAGAAAAACAGGCCTGTCTTCTCTGAGGAGGCCTACTGTTGGAGAAGAAGATGCTACAGAGGAGATGACAGGTTACTCCAGTCCTAACTGCTTGATCAACATGATCAAGTTTTACAAATTAATCATTGTGTACCCTTTAAAAATACTTTTAAAACCTTTATCATCTTCCCTGCACTGTATACTTGCTTTTATTTTTCTCATAACAGACCAGTTTCCAGTCTGTAAATAGGAAAACAGACATGCAAGAATACTGTTAGAGGTCCCCAGTAAATGGGGAGACACCTGCTTACTTTTTCTTATCCTTGTCTTTCTTGGTTTGCTGGGCCCCAGACTGCTGGGCCTGGGACTGTAGTAGCTGAGCTGCTGCTTTCTTCTTCTGGAAGTTATTCACCTCCTCCTCAAGCTCCTTCTTCTTGTCTTCTACTTTCTTCTTCTCTTCTTGGTGTGTCCGCTTTAGGAGGTCAAACTTCTCATGAAGCTGGAGAATAAAAGAGGAAGACAGGCTTGTTAAAGATATGAAAATCTTACTGATGGTCACGTATGTGGACCTGTTCAAACAACAGAACACATCAAGTGGCTGCATTTGCTTCCATTACAGGAAGTGACATGTCTTCTTGGTGGGTCACTGGAAGGACAAGGCTAAGGTGTTGAGCAGCATCCATCTGTCCAAGGCTTGTCACTTGAGTTCCTTGGAACTAAAATTTCCTTGAACAGTACTTCCTTATAAGAACACATGTTCACTTTTAAAAGCATGAAGAAGATAAAAATTATCTATGATTCTAACAAAAATTTCCCTTATGGCAAAAGTGGTTTTTTCAGGTCCTTTTTTCAACATGTATAAAATATACTTACTTACAGATACGTATTTGTATCTATTACATGTAAGATGTGTTGGGAAATTTATGGCCCTTAACAAACTGAGTTTAAACAGATCATAATCATGGGCTAGGGAGATAGCTCAGTGGTAGAACATTTGCCTAGCATGCATGAAAGGCCATGGGTTTGATCCCCAGCATGGGGGAAAAAATTACAATAAAAAATGAAAACAGAGGAGAGGAGCAAATGCTTAATCAATCATTCTAAATCTTTACCCATCATCCACTTGGTTCTTAAAGCCAACAGAAAAGAAAGCTCAATTTTCTTTTATCTGTAGCAAAACCACCTTGAGTTTTAACTATTTAAATAACCTTTAAGTTTCAGCAGTCTTTTTTGTTTTTTTGGTACCGGGGATCAAACTCAGGACCTTGTGCTTCGGGGGCAAGTGGCGGCACCACTGAGCTAAATCCCCGACCCTTCAACAGTCTTTTTAAAAATAAAATATAATGAGAAAATTATTTATTTGATTTCATTTAGAAAAATACTGAGCTATAGGTCAGGTAACTGAGATATTCATTACTGACTGGCAGAGGCAGACACAGTACACAAAAGTCACTTTCTCAGATACAGTGGGAAGAGTGCTATTATGGTAAGCATTCACATCAACTTTGAGGAAGCAGCGACTCTGGTCTGGCAGTGGGACTGAAGGAGGCTTGAAGGGACACTAGAGCAGGGGGTGCATGCTAGAGGGGAGAAGCCTGGATCCTGACTTCACTCTGGACTGCCATCCACTCACAGTGCTACAGGCCCCATTACCACAGTGCACTGAGTTGGCTAACAGTCCCAGAATCCTGAACCTCACATTTCAAGCCTTGGAAATTGAGGAAACACTGCACTGCAAAGACCGGATGATCCATTCTAGAAACCTCAGATGTAGTTTTATCTTCTCTAAAATGGGGATAAGAATATCTGGCCTGCTTTTCTTGCCAGTTAGTGTGCTGCTTGTGATAAAATGTATGTAGAAAGTATTTGAACCAGCTATAAAATGCTATAAAATGCAAAGTATTAATAAAATCTCTCTAAGTTTCTGTCCCTTAAAGGACAAAATACTTACCTCTTTCTCTGCTTCTTTAAGTTCAGCCTCTTTCTCTTTCACTCTCATAACGAACATTTGTCTCATTTCTTCTTCTTTTTTCTGCAGTTCCCCCAGGAATTCATTTCTTTTAGCTTCATAAGTCTCCTGAAGACTTCAAAATCCATAAACCAATGACAGGGTCATAAAATTGCATTAGAAATTTCAGTTCTTATCATTTCTACCCATCTACTTCCAACACTAGAGCTGCCATGTACCATATAAAGATCAGATAAAATCACACTGTTTTATTCATGCTGTGAATGAAAAGACAGAGGCACATGAAACCTAGAATGAGTAGGAAGCACAATGCAGCTAGCACTAACGTGTACGGCGCACCAGCTGGGTTTTATCTTACACATATTCCCACAGGGGAAACGGGTTCAAATGGAACTGGAAGTGTAGAAGATGGAAGGAGTGTGATGATAGGCCCGGGGTCAGAGCGGGGTTTGAGTTCTGCACCCCCGCCCCCCATTTTGGGAAAGCACAGCCTCTCCCTCTCCAAGCTTCCGGGCCTGTGAGGCACGGATGCAGTAATTCTAACCTTCCACGGATGTGATTATGAGAATCAGAGGCAGGGGAAGTGTGCACAAAGCATCTGACATGTAATCTGTGCTTAGTAACACTTCCTCCCTTCCAGCCCTCAGTCCAGGGAACAAACTGTAGACACAAGAGCACCTCTAAGAGTAGAGTAGAAAGTAGCTGTTTAGTTGAATTATCAATTGTAAACACAGCAGGGAAGTTTTATTTAAATTTTAAAGCCCATTCTCTTCCTGTCCACAAAACTTAGAATCCAGTATTTTACCTTGAATGCTATGACAATTTTATCTCTAAATGAGAATAAAGATATTTACAGAGAAAGCACCTTTGGTCACACAATCAAAAACAAAAACAACAAAGCACCTCATCATCCCACCCCATATACACACTGTAAACAGTTGTTGATGTTTTATATGGGGCTAGAATCCTTGTTCTCATTCTCTCTGCTCCCCCAGAATAACAGTTGTACAGTAACATCAATCTGCACCTTCTATAATTAACACCCTTAGCTCTCATACAGTCAACACTGCCAACTCTACCTGCTTATGAACAATCATGTGGCTTGACTTTCCAGAGTTTTACGCAGCTTTCACACTCACTTACCAGAGAAAGCCAAGTTGGACAATGATAATGTTGCCTAATATTAACAGTATTATTTGGATCTTCAAGACCTGAGATACTGATTGTGAAATATAGAATTGTATTGATATCAGACTATAAAATAATTTATGAGTTTGATTTTTGTCAGCTTGTAGTAAACTCTTCACTATTATTTGGGTCAGAATTACCAAAGGCCAAGGATGACTTATTTGTTCCTGTTGTGAAATCTTACAAAAAACTCAGCCGCTGTTGACTTCAGTATAACAAATGTGTCTCAGGATACCTCATAGAAACAGTGCTCAACACATTTTCCAGAGTTCACCACATACCAGAGCTTCAAAAGAGGATCTCAGAACAAGGGTTTCCCAAGTCCAAAGAGAAGGAAGAACAATATGTACGCTTTCCCCAAGGCGACTCATGTGTGTAATGACTGAGTCCCAAACCTGGCAGTGCATCAGGACCACTTGGGCACATCTCCGTGAACTTTTCTAAACACATATTCCTAAGCCTACTCATTTTGTGGGAATGGTCACCCTCTGGCATGTCCTCCTCTAGATGGTTCCACCAGATTTGAATAGGGGAAGAATTGCTGTGTTCATTCTCCCGTCTCTTGACTTCTGTAAAGGCAAAATCTTCCTCTCCTGTGAGCTGCTCATGAGAAAACTAGAAGACAAGATCCTCAGCATCAGACCCACCTAAAATCTCATAGAACAACTGCAGATTTCTCTTAGAAAAGAATGCTAAGAACTGTAATTTAAAATTAATTTTGAAGGGCTGGGTTTAGCTCAGCAGTTCCACTACCTGCAAGTGCAAGGTCCTGAGTCAGATCCCTGGTACCAAAAAACAAATAATAAAGAACTATAATATAATAATAAATAATGAAGAACTATAAATTGCAAATTATGTCATTACTTTAGGTATCTGTGGGTGGATAACAGAACCAGTTTCTTCTGAATTGGGATCCAGTGCCTAAAAACACTGTTGAGGGTCTCTGCTATCTAGATTACAGCTCAACTGGCAGAATCCTGGGGATATAAACTCTGGGTGCTTCAGTTGTGCTAAGTATTTATAGGTAACTAAACGTAGTTTTGACTCTTTAATGTAAGGTTTCAGGATATCTTTCTCATATCTATCCTTATCATTTTCCATATCAGAGTTCAAAAGCTGGCTCAGGTCCTACGATACAATGATGCGATGAAGTAGTATCTTTTGAGCCCATTTTCCCCCTCTGGCTCAGGATGTCAGAAGAACTACCAGATTCACGACTGGGGCCAGTCTTGCCAATGGCAGAGCCGACCCTTAGTTTTTCCATGGGATGAGGGAGTTCCAATTTGGGCGATGTTTCCACCATGGTCCACTGCACACATTCCCTCCAATAACGTCCTCCTGCACTCTGCACTGTGATTTGGTATGTTTTCTCCTGTTCTCTTAAACTTTTAACACATTGGTCAAGATCGATGATCCATAGTTTGAAAATATACATTTAGAACCTGGAGCAGTTACCTATGCTAACAATTTTCAGTGTTCAAGGTAGCATAACTCCAAGCACATTTTATCTGTGAGTTACTTCAAAAAGTTTCCATGATCAAATAAATTTGAGAAGATCTAAGTTAAACACCTGAAACAGGTTCTTTTACTGAAAAGCCTCTCTGAGCATTTAAGACCAGCAGTGGTTAACAAACGAGTTGCATGCAACCACCTGGGAAGCATTTTGGAACAGACTGCTTTACCTCAGCTAGTCTGGATCAGCAGCTCTAGGAGTAGGCTGTGCTGAATTCAGGTTCTTAACAGTATGAGAGGCAACTTGCTACTAATGAACGCAGTCACACCTATTCTAACTTTTGAAGGCAGTTCACAGGCTCCAATTTACGATCTAGTACAGGCACTGGCTACCATGCCTGTGGATGCTGGCAAATTATAGCCAAGAACCAAATGTGGGGCTCTCCCACCTGTCTTCAGTCTAGAAAGAGTTCCACTGGAACATGGCCGCATGTGTTCACTTCTCCTATGGTCTGTGGACGCTTCTGAATGATAAGAGCCCAGTTGAATGCTTGGGAGAAGATCATATGGTTTTCAGAACTGGGCCTCTGTACAAAGTCCTTTCACTGGATTGGATTTGTCCCCGATTTGACCCAGATGGGTTAGGGATGAGAGTAGTAGCAGGGCCAAGACTTGAACTCAGATTCCTGACTTGATTTCAGGCAAAAGCCCAAGAAGCAACTGAATTCAGATTCCTGACGTTTAGCCAAATATTTTTCAACATTGTTGGGATCTGAATGAATTCAATGGCCAATGAATTCAATTTTATCTCAGCTCCTTTGTTCTATCTGTGCAGAAAACATACACTCTGTGACATATTAAAGGCAGCCTTTTCTATATGTACACAGACATACATATCACCTTTGTCAGCTTTAATAACCATAGAGGTCTTGATTTTTACTTTATATTCAGGTAAATGCATTTCAAGTGTCAATGTGCTAATCCTGTTAATGCAAAAAGACCTTTAACTCTCAGGCCCAGAAAGTGTCCTTTTACTGGCCTGGAGGGGTTAGTTCAGGAGTCTCCAGGCAGAAGTAATGAGGCAAACTTGGCCAGAAGATAACTGCTTGGTTGAAAGCCCTTTGTCTTGGGTGTGCATTTGTTCTCACTAAATGCACCTGTGCTCCTGGGCTCCAGAGAGCCACTGGAGCAGAGGCCCAGCCCATGCATTACAGTGAGTCCCCAACTTACGGACATTCGAATAGTGAACTTTCACAGGTGTGCTGTTTCACTTGTTGGACTGCAAATGAATCCAACTTACAAACATTTTCCCAGAATGGAACTCTTCATAAGTCCAGGACTTACTGTACTGAACCATCTCCAGAGCAATTTTGAAAAGACAAACCTTCTATACCAAAGGAAGCTCAGACTGGGAGGAATGAACCCACCCATGCTGGTCACAGACTGCCAGTGTCCATGGGCAGCCATCAATTCTATGGCTGGAGACATCACTGTGTGTCCCAGGGCTAGCCATTAAGGAGGAGCAAAACAGTTTGTTTAAAAGCACTATAATCTTCCATCAACTCACGTACCTGTTAAAGGTCTCGGGTGATCCTCTCTTCTGCCAGGAGAAGGCAACATGCCCTGGAAGCCCCCTCATTCACCATGCCTGGTGTGGGCAACAGTACCCCAGCCCTGTCAACCCTTTCCTCACCACTAAGCTCTGACAGGGACTTTGCATTTGCTAAGGCACTAGCTCCACATTCATTCCTCCTCATCACACTGCATCTCTACCCATTAGCAATGAGGGTAAGCACTTGTACGCTCTTCCCTGCTCCGGGTGCTGTGAGAATTGTACTGGAGCATGAAAGCTAGGAAGTGCTTGAAAAATAAGAGCCTTAGGAAGTAAACCTGTTTAGCAAACATATCCAAGGCAAAGTGCTACCAGGGACCACAGCTTGATGAATGCCCAAGTCAGGCTCTGCAGACAAGATAGATAAGAGCCAGGGCATAGGAGCCACATAGCACGGGCTGATTCCTGTCTGTCACTTACTACTTGTAGGACCTTGGACAGGCTGCTTACAATTACAGTGCCTTAGGTTTCTCCCCATCAGTTAGCTGAGATCACACAAATCCCCCACCAGGCCACTCCATCTCCACCCTCCCCAGGCAGCAGACACTCCTGTGGCGTGCCACCCTGTCACTGTCTGAGAGACACCTGCCAGTGGGTGTCTTCATACCTGAAGGGTTTGCTGTCAGGGTCAGTGTCCTTGAACCCCATCTCCTCCAGCTTACAGCGCCGGTACAGTTCGTAATGGCGGGCATGCGTCTGCTCCCGCAGGTCCTCCATGTTCACTCGGATCAGCATCTCCCGCAGCTTCACAAAATCGCAGTGGCTTTCGTTCTCCACTGCAAGAGATGTGTGTGTGTGTGTGTGTGTGTGTGTGTCCTGAAGTGACGCTCCCAAGATGTCACAGCTGTCACTCTGAAATCCCTGAGGTCTCAGAGACATCTGAAGATGCCTCACTGGCCTGCCCAGCACTGCACACAAAGATGAACTCCGACAATGTGGACCATGCTGAAGACAATGTCCACTACCTCATGCCTATGCCTCGCAGGTGCCGGGCCAGGAGCTTTACAAATCCTGAGCTTACCCTCATCCTCACTCTGCTAAGCAGGCACTGTGACTCTTGCTCTGCAGTTCAGAAGCCAAGCTTTGATAAGCAAGCTGACCCCCAAACAGAAATAGCAGAAGGTAGACACAAGCTCCATGTCACATGCTTCAGAGCCATACTGTTGGGAACCCTGCAAGGCAGCTTTTCAAGGACAACTTGGCCAGAGGCAAGGGAGAAACAAGCACCCTCTTATTCACAAGAAATCTTTTTGTAGCTTTCTGATACTTTGTGGATACAACTGGTTCAAACTCTTAGAAAAGGGCTCTTTTCCTCCTTTTAGAAATGGATACTGAATCTCCTACATAGCCCATCATCTCCAGGGGCTGCTCACCACCGCCAGGGTGTGGCAGTTACTTCTCTCTACTAGTCTACCTGATGCCCAGTTACCGTTTCTTTCTTCAGCCAAGGCGGAAGCATGACTGCTCCTCTCTACACAGAATGGGGTGGGGGACTGACCATTCACCACAGCCATCCATTTTGAGTCCCTTTCCCATGCTGGACGTACCTTGCACGACACCCCAGGGGTACTGCCTGGCTTTTGCCATCTTGTTACCGATCTTCACCTCTTCAGTGCTGCCAACCACTGCAAAGGGGAGATGCACCTGCCGAACAACAGAAGATAACACTGGTTAACTTCTGAAATAAAAAAGGCTGCTTTTGCTCAGACTCTGCTCTTTCTCTCCTTCTGGGGATGTCTCTACTGTTTACACAGCGGGGGCATGCAGAACAGGCAGGAGACTAGCTTGCTTAACAGAATTCAAACAAACAAAAAGACCAATTCTGTCAAGTTAGATGCAAATTTAAAGGAAAATTACATTTTGAGTACTTTAAAGTATATTAGGAATAACGTAAGTATGTGAATCTGCTTTTTAACAGTAAATTATGTGAAACAGCTACAGATCAAGTATTTCTGATGAAAATTTGAAATATGAATTGAGATATACCATCACAAAAATATACCCTGGATTTCAAAGACCATGTTTAAAGTATCTCAATAATTTTAAACTGATTATATGTTGAAACAGTAGTACTTTGAACATATTAGATTAGGTTCCTAAAAGTAATTTCTTGTTTCTTTTTTGCCTTTTTTTTTTTTTTTTTTTTTCCTTTTTTTTTTTTTTTTTTTTTCCTTTTTTTTTTTTTTTTTTTTTCCTTTTTTTTTTTTTTTTTTTTTCCTTTTTTTTTTTTTTTTTTGTACCGGTGATTGAACTCGGGTCCTTGCGCTTGCAAGGCAGGCCACCGAACTGCTGAGCTAAATCCCCGGCTTCTTTTTGCTTTTTAATGTGGCTAGTGGAAAATTTTAAATTACTTGTGGAACTCATACTGTATTTTTCATGAACGGAACTGCTTCAGGCAGTTGATTACGGACAAGCTTCAAGTCAGAAACATACTTTGGCCCAAAACATTGGCTCAAGCCTTGCACATAGATTTATCTCAAGCAGAGATGGTATCCAAGACGACGGACTCTTTCACAGTGGTACACATGGTAGTTATGGCTATATTCAGATGGTGGAGCAGAAAACTAATTCTATGTTTTCCTAATTAGCATACAAAAAATAAGGAAATTTCAAATAGCTACTGCAGAAATTGTTCTCTGGGGCTCCTTATACCAGTGTCCTCCCCTGAGAATAAGCTAGAAGGAGGTATTTTTCAAGCCCACAAGAGCTTAGGCTCAGGTTGCTCCACTGATAGCTTGTGTGATATGCAAGACATTTAATTTCCTAGCTCACTCCACTCTCTGTAGGAAGGAAGAAAAGCGGGTTCTTTTTCTCAAACTCTAAGTTTGAAACTGAAACAAGTTCCCTGAAGTTGAAGAGCAAAAGGGCTTTTCAAGCCAACATTCTGGCATAAATGACCAAGGGAACATCTGCACTCTGCATAACAAAAGCAACTTCAGTGAAATGTTTTCTTCTTCTTTCACACATCAGATGGCGTCTCATCACAAGAACTGTCTACAATGAAAGGCTGAGCAGAAAATGTCTCGATAAAGAGCAGGATCAGTCTGCAGTGTCAAAGATCCTCAGTTCCATTAATCTAACAGAAAGAGCAAAAGTTCATGGGTATTTTCTTTCCAAGAAGTTTAACATAAATTTAGTTTCATGACCATTAAATGTTAATCAGGAGATGGAGAGGGATATAATGAGAAAGCCGATGGTATTCACTTATGATGTTTGTTCTACAGCAGGACACACGTGGCACCTTGGCTGGAGCTTTGGACACGCTATGAGATGAGCACACTGCTCTGCATACATGGTATCAGGTCTCAAGGGTGGCAGCATCAGCTTGAGGGCCACATTGGTGGGGTTCAAATCCCCTCCACTGCCAGAGCTGGGGATTTAGCTCAGTGGTTCCGCCGCCTGCCTCACAAGCACAAGGGCCAGAGTTCGATCCCCGATACCCCCCCTCAAAAAATCCCCCTCCACTTCCTGGGCTATGCAATCACAGGATCTTTGCCATGAAGTAGAAATAACTACCACCTACCCACGAGGCTGCCATGAGGGTTACACAGAAAGCCTGCGCAGTGTCTGGGAAACAATAAATGCTCCAGAAATGTAAAAACTATCAGGTGCTACTAAGATTGGAAAGCTTTCAAAACTCATAATCCAAGAATGTTAGAGGGGGAGGAGAGCCTATATATTATCCAGTTTAAACTGTGTATGAATTCCCTTTTACAGAATTTTTGCTAAGTGGGTTCACAGAATCTGCTGCCCACCAAGCATTTGCCAGGAGAACTAGCTAATTACTAAGACATTTCTTCCATCACTACGATTCCAGCAGTCACACACGCACTTCAAAGACTTGCAGCTGTCTTCCCCTCAGTGTTAGCTCTTTTTTGGGAGTCTGGTCAGTCTTCTTTACAGTACCCACCCTTTCAAACCGATCTCCTAGGAGATTCTGCTCTTTGGCTTCTTTAAGACACATTATATCCCAACTTTCAATAGCCATTATTAAGCACACAAACAATGGCATTTTGAAAGAAATTATGCATTCTCAAAAGAAAAAGAGCTGAACAGATGCAGGAGAGCTATGAGACCCACAAGGGCACAGTAGGAAGGGCCTGGTGGCAACAGGCAGGATGGGGGCTCGGCAGGGAGGGATTAACCTCAAAGCGCACACAGAACCATGGCGGCTTGCATCTCCTGTCTCCTCATTGTTCTTCTCCTTAATGTGGACATTGTACCTGCAACTGCTGACTGACCTGATGACTCAGGAAAACGTAGGAAAACTGTATGGAGGGGAAGGCAGGAGCCAACCACCAAAGCAAAATGGGCAACACTGACAGAAACAAGCAGAGATCTTTTTTTCCTGTGAGCGTCTCTGTGTGAAATGGGGCTCAGCTGGCACTTCCTTCCTAGAAGGCTTAAAGGAAATCAGAGATTACCCTGCCTAACTCTCCATGGCAGCTAGGAAGACTGAAGCATTGACTTGCAGTGTGGTGGAGCTGGACTCTTAACCGAAGATCTCAGCTCCCTGTGCAGTGCGGCCACTGAGGCGAGCTCCTGGGAAAGTCACTGTCCCCACATTACTTGAGGACTCACACTCATTGTCGCATTAATCTCCGCCACCGTTTCTTCATCTGTAGGAAACTGATATATTTGGACCCCATTGCTGACAAGTTCGCTCATGATCTTACTCTTGAACTTGTGCAGTTCATTCTTGGCAATTGTGTCCGCTTTTGCAATTATTGGAATGATGTTCACCTATAAAACAAACATGTCCACTGTTACAATTCTCACATATGAAAAATAATTAGACAAGTGAATAAAACATAGCAAGGATGTGAATAAAAACTCAAAACCTCATTGTAAAAAGTACAGAAGATATTGAAAATCAGACTTTGTACTAGACACAAAATTAAGACAACCCGGGATAGTCTTTATTTCCCCCATCTGCACACTTTGATTTCTTCCCATACTACAATGACAGCATATTTGTAATTTCCTTTCCTGTGCTACCTCATTCTACTTTACAGAGTAAAAGGAAGTTTTATTATTCTATGACAAAGAGCAGGAACAAAGGAGCCTATTCTCTGAATAGCCAACCCTTCCCTTTAGCACCCTCCCAGATCCTTTAGGTGGTTGCATTCTGAAGGCCCTAACAGGGCACTAACAGAGTTCTTGTTTGTCAGAGCAGTGTAGCATCAGCTCTGTGCAGAATAATGTCCTTTCTTCTGATGACCTGGAAATTGCTGGGAGAAGAGAACCTAAATATTAACCAAAACAAAAGGGCACCTATTTTTTAAATTTCTCAAACACATACCAACTAATTCTTTTGAAAATAGGATTCTATCAAATTACTTCTTCATGCCAGAAGGAGACCCAAGGCCAAAAGCAAGGGTTGCTTTCCAAGCCTCCTCAGTCACCAAGAAAAGGAGAGAACTGGAATTGGCCATGAATGGCAGACAGCCCAGATTAAGAGCCAGGGCTCCAACTCCACGGTGGGACATTCTTTTCCCACTTTTAAAAAAATTCATGTTTTAGGATTAACTTTCTTTTCCTCCCTGGTAGGTAATAAGATGCTTTTGACATCTGTGACCTAAGACCACGGTTGCCACTTAGCCCAGGAACAGGGAGTCTCTGGGAAGGGTTTGAGGTCACATTTGTATTCCTTTACATTTCCCAAATCTGAAATCCCTGATGAGACACCAGAACATGAAAGGCTGCCCACAAGCCCTGTACTTCAGCACACTCCAGAGCTCCCTGCACCACAGCCACCCCAAGCCTGGCTTCCCCCAGTGATGGTGGCGTGTTTGGGTCAGGACCCAAGGCACAGGCATTTCCCTGTGGTGCGTACTGCTGAGGACACGTTAAGTGTTTGACGATTACCAACTTGGTCAAAAGGGCAGAGGGTCATATTTTCTTAGCCAAATTGGTCAGAGTTGATAGAGATACCAAGCAACTTAATGTAAAAATCCCAGGAATCTAAAGCACAGCCATCAAATGGGGTAAAGAAGGGTTTCCACACCTCCTCATCCCATACCTCCACCAAACCCTATGGCTATCCAGAAAAAGACAAATTTCACTGAAAGCAGAGAGTAAACTGGAGCCTTAGGAGAAAATGCCTAGCAAGTGAGAGGACAGTAACCAAAGCGGCAGCCTGTACCTTACTGTCCAGCTTTTTCATGGTGACCAGGTCCAAGGACTTTAGTGAATGTCCAGTAGGGGCGATGAAGTAAAGGCAGGCGTGAATCCTCGTGTCATGATAGTTGAAGAGAGAACGTTTGATCTTCAGTTCTTCTTGCAGGTAGGCCTCAAACTGGGCATCAATGTATTCCACTATCGGCTTATAGCTAGAACGCAGAAGAACGTTTGGAAAACACATTTTCAAATCACCATGTTTCCACTCTCAGGTCTCTTCTGCAGTTCAGTGTAGGCCACCTCCTTCAAAACACTGCCACGACTCCATCCTCTCCATGATCTAGAGTCCAGGTTCTCACCTTGGCATCCGAGTGCTGTATCAGCTGGTCCCTGAACAGGTGCTGCCAAGCTCGCTCATTCATCTCTCCTGCTCGCTCCCTGGCTTCTGTTTTCTCTCCTAGCCACACACAACCATGTATACTGGTCCCATACTTCAGCCCTCATTTGCCTCTGTATCTCTGCTCAGGCAGACCCCTCCAATGGAAGTCTTCCTCCTTTCTTTCTTGCTGAATGCAACCTTTGTTAGACACTATAGCTGGAATGGAAGCACATGGCAGTAATTCCAGCTGCTCAGGAGACTGACGCAGGAGGATCCCTCGGCAATTTAGCAAGATCCTGTCTCAAAATAAAACACTAATAAAAGGGGGGGCTAGGGATGTAGCTCAGTGTGAAGGTCATGTGTTCAATCCCCAGTACCACAGATGAATGAATAAAATGAAAACAAAAACCCAGAGACTATAAATACATGGAGCGTGTTGCCTCCTCTCCTGCAGTACCCATGGGCGAGACTGCTAAAAGGGGTGTGTCATTCCTTCCTGCTGGGTCAAGACTGCACCTCCAAATCCATCTCCAGAAAGACTCAACCAAGTGATGACCCATGAAGCGAAACTGGTCTGTGCTTTCAGGCCATAGTGCTGCCACCCCCTGGGAACTTCTTCTAGTCCTCTTCCCCTGCCTGTTCCTCCAGAGATCAGGGACCCTGTGCTCCCCGTCAGGCCCTGCTCACATTCTAGAGCTTCTAGAAATGGAGGAGCCTGCACTACCATGATCTTCAAAACTCTTTCCAACTTGGAAACTATATAATTAAAGGCAAACTTTGTAACCCTCTTTTCCTCACCCAATCATGGTTTAAACAATTATAAATGCTTACATTTAATAACAATTATATATGATTAGCTGACCATAAACACGACAATTTATAGCATATTAAGAATACATATTCAATACAGTCCATGTTACCCTAGGGAGTAGGCAGTAGGTTAGGTCACTGTAGGAAATCCACTAATCCTTCCAGGTCTCTAAGGGGACCAACTGCTCAAGGGAAATTAATTTAAGCAGCAAATAGATCTATTAGGAATCTGAAGGGTTCTCCCAATCGTACTGCCTTTCTGAGAAATGATTTAAGTTGTAAGAAAGTTAAAAACCTTTCAACACCCCAATCTTCGACCCACAAATTAAACTGAAGGCTCTAAAAAGACACTGAAAGTCTTTTATAATAAGAATCTCAGCAGATACTCCAAGAGGGGAAAAAAAACCCTCCCCCCAAATAAACTACAACAACAGACGTATAGCCTCAGATGAAAACAGTTAGTAAAAAAATATTTTTTTGTTTTTGGTACTGGGGATTGAACTCAGTACCTTGCACATCCGAGCCAGGCAGCAGCATCACTGAGCTAAATCTCCAGCCCCGTAAAAATATTTTTGGTGGCATTTTTCTTTGGTGATTTTATCATAATCCTTTGATTCAATTTAAGAACACAGACTCTCTCAAGGTTTAAAAAAAGTAGACTATACCTCAGCAATTAAAAAGCTGAGTCATAAGAGGCAAATCTCAAAAGAGGTTGAACAAATAATAAGATTCTTCTCTATTTTCCAATTTTAAAATATAGGCAAGTGTTACACCACAGTAACCCTAATTATTATGGGATAGTTACCTAGGATGGTGGTTAGACACTTAAGATTCAAGTCAGATGCCTCAGACCACAATCTAGATTCAGACACTGGCTGAATGGCCTTAGAAAAATCACTAAACCTCTCTGTGTCCCATTTTCCTCACAGGGTGATCAAGGACAAAAACAGTACTTCTATCAGACAAGACTGGCACACCAAAGTAATATACACTTATTTCATAAAAATAACATAATCAAAAATAAATAAATAAAAGTAGTTTGAGGTTTTAAAAGACCAAATACATGCAAACGTACACACACCAGAAAAAAACAAAACCCAAACCTACAGGAACTCTATACCCCCTCACAGGGAACTCTATGCTCTGCTGATGGCTTTGCTTCTGAGCACATGCCCTGAATGGCCAAGTGGACAGCCCATTCCAAGGAGGCTCACCTGTCCCAGGGGCTGACCCTCCAGTTGCCTGACAATGAGGCAGGTGTCTCAGCATTAGGGGGTCATCCTGGCACCCTCTTAGCCTATGGGGAGGAAAAAGCAGCTCATATCATCTGTCCCTTATGCCTCCCCAGATTCTTAGTTTGAGCTCTCTGTCTTCTCTCAACAGTAGTCTAAGTACACTTCTATTAATTTCCATTCTTGTCTCTGGTTTTGATTCTGCTCCTCCAAAGGTCATAGGAAGCATAGCATCTCTCCTTTCTTGGTAAGGAGCATTCTCAGCTGGATTCACAAATCTTCTGTTCTCTTCTCACATCTTAGGCCTCCTTTGCCTGTCCCTGTTGGACACTCCCGGACAGTCTGTCAATCCCCCTTCTTCCCATGCTCTGTGGTCTCTGGAAAAATCATGTTTATCACCATGTTTCATCGACCATCTAACTGACAGCAAGTTCCACATTTCTACTCTAGCCCAGATCTTTCCCTTGAGCTTCAGACCCATTTACTGAACTGCTTTCAGATATTTCCAATTGTTCTAACTAAATCTGTCTAAAACCTAATTCTTTACCCTGCCGACACCAACAGACCTTGTATGCCTCAGCATGGTGAGGGTGCCACCGCCCAACCCAGAGCCCTCCTTTTAGATTCAAGCATGACATTTCCTCGTCTTACCTTCTGAGTCATTATAAACAAGGAAAGCAACACTCTCCTGGAGATCTGGCTACCAAAACCACTACTTCCTGTGTTAAACATTTAATTATGCAAATGAAACAACTTCCTCTGATGAAAAACAAACCAGCTAACTGGTTTGCACTCCTAGTCATAATCCCAGAAACAAATTTCCTGCCCCTTCCTTCAACTATGTCCTTTCTACTTGTTATCTGTATTTGTGGTCAGAAGAAATAAAAAGATTTAATCCTAACTTTGCCTTTTGCTAATTTCTACTTGTAAAAAAGGATACCAGCCAGGTATAGTGGCATACACCTGTAATCTCGGCACTGAAGAGGCTGAGGCAGGATTGCTTCTAGTTCAAGGACAGCCTGGACTACATAGCGAGACCCTGTCTCCAAAAA